TATAAGATAAAAATAGGATCTTACAACATTAGATTATCGAACGATCTAATTATTTCACACGTTCAGTAGTGCCGAATTATATAACACATTTTCAGTAATTATTTTCATTATAGGCCAGATGCCGCGTCCTACTTATCAATAAACATGTGTCATGTCGGTTCCATTTAGTAATATAGGGTCGTGGTTAAATATAAGATAGGCCTGTTTTGCATTGTTGATTGTTCTCGGATAATAGAAAATCAGCGAGGCTTTTCTAGATAGGTGGAGCTAAATCGAATGAAAGGCCAAAGTATCCGTGGCAATTGGGCCAGCTATCAGTTTTTAAGGCTTCATTATAAATTCTCACAATTTCACTAGTTTTCGCGTCAGCTTGCAAATCCACATATTTCTAATCAGTGTATCTCTGCACCAATGCTAGTGGGTACGAGCTGTTGACTAGAAACTTAACTCGACAAGTTCTCTAGACATTTTGAGCAAAAATTATCAAAAGATTTTTCTGCACTTGAAGAAGACGATATGAAAAAAATAGTTGACCAGTTTATATATATTCTTCTGCTGCTTGGTTATAGATACGATATCGTTATACTGTTAATTTTGTTATATATTATTTAACGCTTGACAACACGAGTCGAACAGGGGTTACGACTTTCGGCAAGAATACGATCACAGGGTTCGGTTACCGAGCGCATCTGGAACACGTCCTTCTCCGTGTTCGGGCCAGGGTACCAATTCCACAGTGGATACGAATATACATTGCGTACAATAGAACACAGACACGAACCACGCAATGTACTTGTGCCCATCTGCTCCAGCTGATGCGAAAAAGATCACATAAAAACTTCTACCTGTTAACGTCTTCGGCACTGAACATCGCGTGCGAACAGAAAATTCTGAAATAGTCCTACGAAAACACCATCTATACAACTCTCCTCGGACGGCAGGTGGGCAGGCTAGAGATGTTTGCCCTAGACAGCATGGCACTTTCCTTTTTTTGCACTTTACATAGAATACTTGCACTCGAAAACTTTTATGCGTTTGTTTTGTATTTTCCAACGAGATTTTCACACCTAAAGCAATAACGCTCGTACAGCTTTTCCCGGAACGAGATAACACAACAGAAGAATATACGGTGAATCACACTAAATTTGATCTCTTGACTGGTCTATAGGATCAAGATAATTATAAATAAAAACTACGAGGTACACAGCGCTGTACATTTCTCTCCTTCTAAGCTTAAGCTGATACAATAGATCGGTCAGAAAGTATTTCTCGAATCGTTGAACCTCACTACTTGTACCACATATTAGCCGTTTGATTTGAAGTATGGCTAGCTTTTTTTGGATTAATCAGTATTTGTTGTTTTGCAATTATGTTAGTTTGTAGTGATTTTCTACATAATCAAATGACAAAACCAAAAGCCCCCACTGGCAGTGATGTTTCTAATTTTGTTTTGCTAGAAAATACGCAGTTTGCGTTCGTAGAAGTCGCTTTTAGCGCTTCGCGGCTGAGCATTTCTACTCACAGCAAAAGTCATGCCCCAGATAGGTGTACGAGCAATGCATAACAATGAATTATAGGCTCACTCAGGAGACGATTTGATTCAGGATCTGTATGCACAGATACGAGTTAATCGTGCCATTGTATACATTAGGACATAGATTAAAGGCAATTAAGTAAATTGCACTCCAACATACCCAGGGCCATTATCAACGTTTCGTCTATATGCATATTATCTTTGACACGAAAAGTAAAAAGGATTCATTCTGTACGAAAGATTCAATATCGGAAATTAAAAATAATTTCATACAATAACCTTTAACATATCAGTAAGGAAGAAAGGACAGCTAAATCCTAGGTCTGTTTCAACATACGATTTGGTGGGCTGTTCAATAATCACCGTTGGAATTACAACAGAACAGTGAATGCAATTCCATTCGACCGGTCAAATTGATTCAAACATTTGACAGTACAAATAGCTCGGCAAAAAAGAAGGCTCGCACGAAATGGCCTAGTTACAACATTTAATTTTATGAGGCATTAACTATCTGAGAACTATGAAATACTCCAAGCAGCTACTTTTACGGGGCTGCCCTGTAGCTTAAACCTTTCCTATCGAATCACAATACTCAGGAGAGGCAAAAGTTCAAAAATCGATTTATCAATGTATGGCCTCGTTAGCCCAGGGATTTGTTAATTCTGCGGCAGTGGACGAGAGCAATGGAAAGTTAAAGAACTGACAGTCAGATAGGGACGGTTAGAAGAGAAGGTTAGCGCCACCACAAATAGGTTGAAGAGAAAAAAATTTCCACCCTAACTTGATAGACTGGGCCTTTGGATGGATGTGTGTTTTTCTATGCATAAAACATTTAACATTGATAAGCTCGTGGGAGACGCTTCGAAAATATATTAATCATAGGGAAAAGACATAAGGAAGAAACGAACCGTTTGTGACACGGGTTTTGTGGGTCACTCTGTTTTTTCTAACTAGGGAATGCTCATTGAAAACTCAAATTTCAGATTTTCTCACATGCGCACGGATTGTAAATTTTGTGCAATTTACGCTACTGGATTTTGTCTTTGAGCCTATCCTCGCTTTCTATCGAACTTTTGCTAAGCAATAAAAGACGAAAAAATAACTACCTCGATTTTCGACTACCGCCCCAACGCCAGACCGAAAGTAACTTACCTTTTGAAAGTCGTTATTAAAGTTGAGTTCCTACAATTATGCTTGTTCATGTAAGTTCACTTAGAAAATTTATTTAACGCGTTTTCATAGCGTATCGTTGTGTGATGTTACCAAAAAAATGTATAAAATCGCTAAATGCATCATATGTATCAAATTTTTTTCATGATTTGAGCGCTGTACACCGTAGATGACCGCTCGATACTATTCGTTAGATGATAGCTTTAACCAAGTTGTTCTGGTATTCTTCTATCGTTATTGATCACACTTAATTTCGTAGAAAATGCTGTGACGTTAGGAAAATCTCAGCGTGGTGTTAGGGATAGAATACAGCCAGAAACTGTATAATAAGCAATTGTAGCTATTAAAGGTAGAAGCCTTTCCGTTAGAGAGGCAGCTTGTGAATTTGGGAAGCATAGTATCACGCTGCAACGGCACCTCGAGGTTGTCGTAGGAGTTACGAGCTGTCCTCGACATGCGTCCGTCCATCCGCATGCGTCCGTTTGACGCATAACAAGAGACTATATTATTGCTCAATGTGCTAAGATTATATATATATAAAATTATACTCGAAGCGGGGTCAATTGCGTACGAGCTTGCTAAACAACTGAATTTGAACGTACCGGATAGTCGGCCTAGTAGCCGACGTGCAGGGGTGAATGGGGTGATGGCTTTGTTGGTACGAAAAGATGTCTCGTAGACTGTTTAAAGCACTTCATTGCAACTATAGGATATGCCATCTAAACATAAATAACCACGAAAATCACACAGGCCTAAATGCGATCGAGTTGACTTTTTCAAAATGGCGTCCACGTCGTTACACTTTCTCTGCGTTGCTCAAATAAGCTACATGCCCCAGCGTAGCAGTTTTTAGGCCCTTCAAAGCTAGACCTCGTAGAGCTTAAGAAAAGCTTGTCGCCTATTACGGTAGAACAATCGCAACCTATTAAGCTGTCACAGCTCCGAAATAAATAAATTCAATCAAAATAAAAAATGTCTGGAAAATCAACGTGCAACAGTCAGACTATTGCTCCTTAAAAGCCATAGCGCGGCGGAAATTTTTCGGCCATTGGTAAACAGTGTAAACGTTTCAAGAACGAAGGTCGAAGGCGAGCGAAGGGGTGTCGTAACCCGAAGGGCAAGAATCGAAAACGTTTTTTGTCCTAAAACAGAGCTCAGAATGTAAGGGCCTAGAGGATCAAAACTAATATTTCGCATGCAGTATGTTACAGAATTATAATCGAAACGCTCAAAATGCGGAGACCGACTGGAAATAAACCTCCGCGAATGGAGTCTAGGCGCAATTTACGGAACTTCAATCAACGGAGAACACCAGACTGAAGACAAGGTGAAGTTTAATGCGTACCGCTAGCCATAGATGGACCAAGCGAAAGAATGGCATCGCTTTACAGAGAAATCGAGTTCGAGTAGCTTTGAGTAAGTTCACAGCTGAGTTCAGATATAATATGATAGTAGTACTTGGCTGAAGTGAAACAATGAATATGGGCCGCTACCTCGAACTCCTCAAATGACTTAAGGACCGTAGACATGGCAGCCGGAAGCAGGCAGTCTGGTTCGTTGATGCCAGACATCGTCATCGTGCTCCAATTACTTCCTGTATTGAGAAAACAAGCATCTAACGCTGATTTCAGCCCGGTTATTCTCCCGACCTAGGTCCGCACGATTACAAGGTTTTCCCTACTCTAAAAAGGGACCTTCGTGATCAATTATATCCACTGTTGATTTACATCGAAAATTCAGAGATAGGGAAAGTGCATACGGCAACATGAGTGACGGGTACGTCAGATCGCTTGCACAATGCAGATCGCTTGATCTATGCGAAAAAAAAAATGAGGAGAACACCTCCAATATA